GTACTTTTACTCAAGTACGGAAAGTGAGTACTTTTGCCATCTCTGTCCATGCATTCAAAATGGCCCCTTCCTGTCAAACGCCAACCGAATGGCAGAGCATTTCCTTCCAACTCCAAACAGAATCCCTGCCAACTTCCTGCCAATGGAGCGACCCCCTCTTGTATATTTCTTTACTCTGACTCACCCTTTTTACTGAATTACAGTGTCTGACCAGAGGAAGACGCTTCTCTTTAGATCTTAATGTCAACAAGGAATATTTTAGTACAAAGATTGATGTTTAAAAATGAATTGTAGGGGACCAGCCAAGGGCCCATCAAGGAAAGTAGGGAAATATTGAATGGCTACTACCGTCTGTCTGAATCCCTCTCACCAGAGCTGCTCCATGTTTATCGAATGTAAACAGATTTGGTTCTGCTACTTAGATCAGAAGCGACTGGCGCAGTGTGTTGATGTCCGTACGTTGCGTTCAATGGTGTCAGGTAATTTACTGCGTGTTCCGATTTTAACGCGGGCTGCTTGCCGATTGGTTTAGACACACGACAGTGAGCTGTTCCCACTGCCACTAAAACCCTATTGTTCCCGGGATTAAACAGGTTTTTATGGCAGTGGAAAAGGGGTATTATAGAAATAAACATCTTATTTGTGTTCATCATTGCTTTCTTCTATGAACTGTTGAATCTTTCTATCAACACCTTTTCTTCCCAAATTCAGCTGTAGGTGGTTCGTGTGGTCGTTCTTTTTATTGTTTCGAATAAAAAAAAACTGGTCATTTTTTAAAATGAATTCACCATGAAACTGTCAGCTTGAGCGGTAAATATAGGGAGGGAGGAGCTGCCATGTGAAAGGAAAAACCTGATTAAAGGAGATGAAACAATATTTGTCAGAGAAAATATTAAAAGATAGGTTGTGCTTCTAAAATTGTCATGTCGCACGAAGAGTGTGACTTGAGATCCTCGTTTATTTTTGTGTTAGATTCTTATTTTGAAGATAAAAGACGGCGGTTCTTGTATCACCCTGTTGTGTTAGCCGATGAAGGCCATGGCATGTCTGACGACGCTAAATTTAAAAAAGGTTTGAAAAGGCATCCACTGCTTTAAAACTGTTGCCATGACATTTTGGTTGTCGGGTAGAAAAAATATGTTGGCAGAACATTAGTAAGCCTTGTGAAAAAGGAATAGAAACACAAAGATTAATGGATGCAAACAGAAGGGTCCTTGATGTGACAAAACCTCACATGGCTTTAGAGACGTACAAACCTGGGCGACGAGCAGGAATACAGTAAACAGACCTGGACTGACTGTTAGCTGCTGATGACGGACAATTTGGCCTTTGCTCAGGTGCTTTTTATCGGCACTAAATGGAAGGCCTTCTCACAGCTTCAAACGCCGATCCAGTCCTCGTTTGATCAATCCAGACTGACCAGATCTGGAACTTCTGATTCCTATAAATGATTTTTCTGCATTTTGATTTCCATAGAACTTCACCATGAACTGCAACATATGTACCGGCGAAGCCTGGATGAAAGTATTTAACATTGGTTATTTCTTTCCTAAAACAAAGTTTGTGAAATATTTACTTTTTAAAAAACAGGGAGTGAAATCAAGTTTTAATTTTCCCTGAAACCTTCTAATCCTGAGCCTGATTTATGGTTTAACCCTTTGGCGATGGAAAACCAAACCACTTTCTGCTCTATATTTAGAGAACATCAGCTAGGGTACATTTTTTTTTGGTAGAAAGTCCTTAAAGCTGTCCATAAATTTATACTAGGGAT